CGTCTACGTGGCTGAGTGCCCCCGAGGTGCTCATGGCCGATAGTGGCCTTTCCCCCGGCCTGCTCACTGGTAGTGTGTGGAAACCTGCCCCCGGCGTGGGTACAAAGCCTTGTCAGTCCTACAGTTTGGTAATTTAAACATTTTTGTATGCCGCGGATCTTTGCCGAGCGTTCCGGAACGAAACATTATTGCTTGACAGGGACTGAGCTCGCGGGAGGGGGAGGTACAGGCAACACCCACTGCTTCCCTCCGCCCCCGCCAACAGATACGACTTGTGTCCGTATTGGTTTTTTTTGTAGCAATAGTTTTATTTCATGACTCTGCTTTCTGAAGGCGTTGCTTTGCAGTGCGGTGTTCTCGAGCACGTGGATCCTTTATTTAGGATGTAAAATCTTAGTGTCGTGTCCGACTGTAGTAGCCATGGTGAGGGTGTGATAGTCTGCGGTTTCACTTTTCCACATAGGGCAGAAGATGATTGAGAGAACACACGTAGTTAGCCACGTCTGCGCTTATCCGAGGCTACTGAGGCGTGCACTTAGCTATAGCACGAAAATTCCGTAGAGGTCTTGCTTTGTGCCACCTTACCGTATCTGTTTCAGCCAGAATTGCTGGAGCAGGCAAATTATGCAGCTCGAGTTTTTGCAATTTTATTTTTATGTTATTTACTGCTGTGAGGTGTCCTCCCAGCTGTTTCTTGCTATCCACATCCAGTTTTTGTGTACACAGAGAAGTTCCTCTTCTGGTTTTATCCATTTTAATATCAATACAGAAGTTTAGTGGATGGAGGGAAATATTTTAATTTTTTAGAGAAATATTTTAATTTTTCAGATTGTTTCTTGTTTTCCACTTAGACCTTTATCAGGGTCGTCTTCAGGATGTCTCTCCTGAAAGCAGTTGTATTATGATGGTTTATATGAGATGCTAAAACGATTGTAGATTAGTTGTTTGTAAATTTGCTATGTATTCATTGCTCCTTTCAAAGAACCCTGTTTGTAGGAGATTAAATCTCTTAAGATATTGCAAAACTGTTTCAGTTATGCCACATCCACAATACTAATGCAATTTATATTTCAGTAACATTCTTTGTCACGTCTCTTTTAATACAGAGGAAGAATGACAGTTGTGTTTTCTCAGACTTCATGAAGTGGGCTGGTTTGACATTTCACTGCTCTCAGGAGCAGTTCTATCCTCTGTATTTCCTCACCTGTGTGTCACACTGTTGCTTTCTTGGATACTGTACTCATTTGATCTGTCACTGATTAGAACTAGCAAGCTGAAATAATACATACAACTCTGCTTACTTTTGTCTCAGTTATTTTTCTGTTGGGAGAACATTGGGCCACAAATTGTTCCTTTGAGTGGAAGCAGAATTTTGGAAGGGCTCACAAACTAATGAAATTTCACTCCAGGTGGAATAAATGCCGTGTAGGTTGATACAGACCCAGCATTCCCACTTCAGGCCTTTTGCACTTCAGTGTCTTTACAAGTTGCAGATGTCTTAAGTTAACTGCAGTGTTCCTTCTGGCTGTACAGGGTTGAAATGGGGTGTTTCAGGTGGTTGCTTTCTGAAAGAACGGTAGGCATTAGTTTGTGGGGTGCTTTAGTCTCATGTGGTGGATCTTATCATATGAAAGTGATGTATTTTAATGTGTGTGCTCTTTTCTGCAGAATATTACACAAAGTGGTTCCCATGGAAAACACATGGCGCTGTATTAAGCAGCTGGGATAACCTGAATTGTTTCAGCTTTCACAAATCTTGTTTTAGCAAACCATATAAATTTGTGGTTTCTGTTACATTTTAACCATTCGCCTTTCTCTTCTCTATTACAGACTTTTGGGGAGGAGATTTGTTTGCTGTTTGTTTCTTTGTTTTTCTTTTTAATTTTATTTCCCAGACATAATTATTGTCAGTAGGTTCAGCATCCAGATATTTAATGTAGTCTCTGGTTTCTGCTCCATACATTAATGGGATATATGAATTATAAATTTGGTTACCTCATGTACTACTTTACTTGGATTTTTGTCTTTTTTTTTTTTTTTTTTCTCGCTGGAACCTATCACAAGATTCTTATCAGTGTTTTTCTCTATATGGATGATAAACTCGGTTCAGGAAAAGTTAATGCAGTTGAGTTCTGGAGTCGTGACTCATTCTTTATTAATGACCATCTGCCCTAGAACAGAGTGAGCTTCAGTTTTTTCCCTTTCTTAGAATTGCCGTTTCTTTCTGAAAGTGACTTGGTAATAAGGTATTTTGTTTACAGAGCTTTTGACTTCATGCAAACAGGTATATTTATGTATTATGCATATATTATACTTTATGAAAACAGGTAGATTTTCTCTCTTTTTGTTGCTTAGCAAATGACAGTTTGTTTACTGTATTCAGAGAACGTACTCTGGATTCACCCTTACAACAGAAAACCATGTTAGAAAATGAGCTAAAGAGTTGTGTATGGGGAGAAGTACAGACTTCAATTTCAGTCTGTTGTATATTGGTGATTATTGTGGCTGATCTAAAGACACTAATGATACTTTTTTAGTGTTCTTGGAGTTCAGAGTATCTTCAACACACGGGCTTTTAGATCTTTCTCAGGTTACCAATTGACACGTGGGCTGTCAGATAAGTTATTTTTCACTTGCTTGTGCTCTTGCTCTTGGAGTTAAAGTTTCAGAGTGTTAACTGACCGAACATCTGAGCTTTATCTGTAAGCTCAGATGTCTGGCCAATTCAGCAACTAGAAGTGTTCAAGGAGCACTGTAGCTATTACTAAATAGTAGTGGTATTAGTGCTATATTGTTTGGGGGAGGGGGATTTGTGTTTGCAGTGGAAGGATTTTTGATTTTTTTGTAAAAATTTTTTTTTGTTTGTTTTGGTTTGGTTTTGTTTTTCTTGTAGCTAGGAACTAGGCAAGAGATTTTAAATGTGGTATGTTAAAATTAGCTTTGTATCCTTCAGGTAGTTTATTGGCATAGATACAATGAATTATTTTAGGTGTATATTCTGTGGAATAGGCAGTGTCTTTCTCCACCTTCTACTGCTTAAACTTAAGTGCACAGAGGCTCTTGTACTATGCATTGTTATGCCATTTTTTTGATTTAAAATATTTGTTATAACTTTTTCAGCCTTTATAATTTACTGTGAGCACAGTTATAATTATTTCTGATTTTATGGTACTTCATGGGTTTTCTTTGTTAACAGACAACTATCTCTCTTGAATTTACTTAAGGTTTTTTATGCTTGAATGTAAAGCAGTTCAGTAATAATTCTGAAATCTCTGTAATTTCTTTCTATTTTCTGTTCATTAAGGATTTCTCTTTGCAGAAGTGTTTACAATAGGACCAGTGGGTTACTACTTGAATCTCTTGCTCTCAGTACCCTGAATAGATTTGTATTTTCACTGATATCCTGCCACTGTTGCATAAGTAGCAGAAATACTTCATGGTTCAAGAAATCTGCAGAGCTTGAAATCTGTACTGCTGTCAAGTAGGAAACTTTTCTTATGATATGTAGTTCCTGGTGTTGAGAGCTTTCTCATATTTCTCACAACATGAACAATACTTGTGGGATTCTGCCCCTCTCCGCCCCACCTATTTAGAAACTGGATGTTTTTAAGACTAGCAGGGTGTGAAATTTTACATTCTTGGGAAAAAAGTTGAGCCATAGGCTCAGCAAACAAAAGTCATACAAGGTTCATCAAGGGCAAATGCAAGGTCCATGGGGCAATCTGAAGTACAGGCTGGGTGGAGAATGGATTGAGATGAGTTCAGGGGAGAAAAACTTGAGGGTATTTGTGGGTGCAAAGCTCAATATGACTTAAATGTTCACCTGCAGCTCAGAAAGCCAACTGTGTCTTGGGCCACATCAAAAGCAGTGTGGTCAGTAGATCAAGGGAAATTATTTTCCCCCTCTCCTGTGCCCTTATAGGACACCATGTGGAGTACTGTATCCATCTCTGGAGTCCCCACCATAGTCATAGATCTAACCAAGCAAAGAGGGCTATGAAGATGGTCAGAGAACTGGAGCACCTCTCCTATGGAGGAAGGCTAAGAGAGTTAGGGTTTTTCCGTCTGGAGAAGAGAAGGTTCCAGGGACACTAGAGCGCCTTCCAGTACCTGAAGGGGGCTTACAAGAGAGCTGGAGAGTGATTTTTTTCCCAGAGGTATGTAGTGATAGGATGAGAGGCAATAGCTTTCATCTGAGGGGAGCATAGGCTTAGATTGGATATCAGGAAGAAGTTCTTTGCTCTGAGTGTGGTGAGACACTGAAACTGATTGACCAGAAATGTTGTCGTCTCCCTATCCCTGGAGGTGTTCAAGACAAGGCTGGATAAGGCTGTGAGTAAACTGGTCTAGTGGGATGTTCCCTGCCCATGGCAGGGGGCTTGCAGCTAGATGATCTTTAAGGTCCCTTTCAGCACAAACCATTCTGTGATTTGTATTTTATTACAATTCAAATGCCAGATATTGTAGCCTATCTTCTGTGGAGCAGAAGATCATGTTGGTCAAGTAGTATTAGTTTGATGCTATGTGGAGCACTCAAATGTACTGGCACCTAGTAGTTGGAAACAGACTCTTGATGCAGTAGGTACTTCAGTGTGCCCAGTGACACTTTAGCAGTGAATGTGTGAGTAAGCTTTGGCCAAACATCAGCTATTCCAAAGAGGAAGATGAAAATTCAAGTAGTATAATGTAGACTTTTATACCAAGTTATATTTCTTCTTACTTTATGCATAGTTCTAAACAATGATGCTTTCTTTTGTGCATGTAAGATCACTTAAGCCAACCACTGTCGAAACTGAAATAATTTTATTGGTCTTTAACTGTTTCCTTACAGGGTTGCATCTTTTGTTCTGTTTCCTTTCCATCAGAATCTGAAAATAAGATGCTGCACAGCATCTATATCTGTTGTTGATGTTTCTGGACAGAGCCATTTTTCCTTAAGTTTGCAGAGCATTTCATATGTTTTTTACTCGGTCACTTTCTTATGAACATGCCTGCTTACTGCTTCATCTGTTGAATTCTTGGTGAGGTCCTTTATCTGATTCTCTAACATGAGGCAAAAAATGAAGTAACTGCTATTGAAAAGTTGTTAATATCGGTATTTACACAGTGCCATAATTACTTACTGTCT